CTTGTGAATGATGGGAGGGTGTTTGATAGAGTAGGATGGCGAAGTGGCTGAGGTCGAGGTGAAATAGGTAACGCGCGGATAGGTGACGTGAAGTCACTGTGGCCGTAGCCGAGATAAAATAGGTGACGTGTGGTCACTGGCCGTAGCTGAGGTGACGCGTGGTCATTGGCCGGAGCCGAGATCAAATAGGTGACGCGTGGTCATTGGCTGGAGCAGAGATCAAATAGGTGACGCGTGGTCACTGGCCAAGGTGACGCGTGGTCATTGGCCGGAGCCGAGATCAAATAGGTGACGTGTGGTCACTGGCCGTAGCCAAGGTGACGCGTGGTCATTGGCCGAAGCCGAGATCAAATAGGTTACGTGTGGTCACTGTGGCCGTAGCCGAGGTGAGATTGTGACTTGACAGTTTTCGTGTAAAGTGTATGTTGGGGGTGTACAATGGGCCTAAAATGGGCCTATTTATGGAATACTAAGTCTGGTTAATGTATCGGACGACATTTGTCATGGAAAAACGTGCAGTAATAAATATTGCCTGCGAAAAGTAACCGTCACATTCGAAGGGACGCGGCGTTAAATTAAACGGCGAATTTGAAGGGGTACAGTCGTGACGGTTTAAGGAAGACAACCGTGACCGTGAAAGTATGCTTTGCCGTTATGTATATATATGTGGGGTTAGAAAAAATGCAACCCATTTTGCTGTTTAGCTTTTGGAAAAGTCACCGGTGTACCTGCACTCAATCGCTGTTCGTTCGTTTTCGCAGAGACCAAGTAATTTGCGAGCATCTGAGTGTCTTTTTCTACCTTTCTTTGTTGTGAGAATGTCTTCTGAAGAGACGCTTAGTGACGGTAGAGTGAGGGGAAGGGTTGAGGAGACAGAGAGTAAGGATTTGGGGGTGCCGTCGAACATTTTGGAGAGAGAGGATGGAAGAGAGCCGTGTTTTAACCTTGAGGAGGAAGTTGTTGGTGAGGTGGCAGGGTATGAAACAAGTTTGGAGAATAGGGGTAGTTTGGCCCATTTGGTTGAGAACTATGGGGTGCTCGGGCGTGTGTTGGTAAGGCCGGCGGGGAGTAGGGAGAGGGCGTGTTCGGCCCCGAGGGACCACTTTATGCCTCTCTACTCCCATTACCTGGCGGCTGGGTTGCGGTTCCCTCTTCCAGACCTATTGGTATGGTTGTTGTTGGAGTATGGTCTGGGGCTAACGCAACTCACCCTCAATGCCGTGCGGTTAGTGGTGGCGTTTGCAGTGTATAGCCGAAGTCGGGGGGTAAGTTTTCCTACTGCCAATGTATTCAAGTACTTTTACGTCTTGAATGCTGGGAGTGGTAGGGAGAAGGGGTGGTACTACTTTACGGGCTGGGTAGCGAATAAGCAGAGGAGGGGTCTGTTTAGCGCCGGGCCGTCTTCCATTAAAGGGTGGAAAGATAAGTTCTTTTTTGCGGATGACACGGAGTGGGATAAGACTGATGCCGAGGTGGAACACTTGAGTCGTTGGAAGGCGAAAGGGTTAAACCTCAATGAGTATAGTCTGACCCCGGGGAAGTTGGAGGATGTGGGGGAATTGGAAAGAGGAGGGGTGGGTTTACTGGATGTCATGGAGTATACGAGCCAGAGGATGTTAGACGCGGCTGAGATATATGGGCCGAGCTCGCAGAGAGGAGGTGTGTAACTTTAATTGTTGGTTTATTTCAGGAATTCTGATCAGAGTTTAACCTTGTTTTGTTTTGCAGAAGAGATGAACAAATTTTTGGACGCAGCGGGTGGAGTTGGAATTCCAAACAGGGGAAGAGGGAAGAGAGGCGAGGTCAGGAGGCGGGCGGAGGAGGTTTCACTGCCCCAAGCCGAAGTGGAGAATTTGGCCATAACTCAGCTTGGCCATGCTGGGGGGGAAGTGACGGTGGTTGAGGAAGGGCCCATTGTGGCGAAGAGGAGGAGGCATGAGCAACAAGAGGTCGTGGTGGAGGTGGAGGAGGTGTCAGCGCCCGCGACTTCAACTCTTCGCCTGGAAGGGACCTCATCAGCCTCAGCTGCTGAGTTTGTTGCTACGCTCCGGGAGCACGGGTACATCTGAGCGCAGACGATCAGTTTTTATGACTCCGGGATGAGGAGCACAGCAAAGAGGTTCATCAACACCTACTTCCCGGAGGTGGATCGCCAGCGTGCGAAGGACGAGGTGGCTGCTAGGGGTTCAGTTGGCGTTGTCCGTCAAACGCTGGAGGTATGGTCTCGTCGCTTTGTTTGGAGTTTAAGGGTTTGATTTTGTTAAGTGTGTGATGAGTTGGGGTGGTTTCACTGTGCAGGCTGTTAATCTCGTGAATGCTTTGGCGAATGAGCATCACGAGAGTCTGAAAGAGAGGAATAAGATGAGGAAGGAGAACGCCGAGCTCGTTAAGAAGAGCGAGGCTGCCGAGGCCGAGGTGGCGAAGTTGAAGGCGGAGAAGGAGGAACTCCGGAAAGAGAACGTCACCCTCAAAAAGGACTCGGAGAGCTCGTACCAAAAGAAGAAGATATGCAAGGCCGAGCTGGAGAAGAGGGAGAAGGAGGTGGAGGAGGCGGAGAAGGTGGTGGCTAAGTTGGAGCTTAAGGTTCACAACTCAGTTGAAGAACATGTGGAGGGGTTCCTGAAATCCAGCATCTTCGAGGATATCGTTAACCTCTATCGCCTTCCCACTGCCATTGTGGCCTTCTCTGACTGCCGGAAGAAGGTAAAACTGGAATATCCTGATGTCGATGTGACGAAAATTACCTTCGGAGAGCAGGAGGGGGAGGTGGAGGAAAATGGGGAGAGCAGTACTGCTGACTTCCGCCCAGAGATCACACTGAAGTGGGAGAAAGACAGCAGGGGCCAAACCATTTTGCCTCCCAAGTTCAGTTTTGAATTTGTGGTGGTTGATGAGGGAGACGAGGGTGACGAGGTCACTGAAGGTGCTGAGAAGTCAACTGAAGGTGTTGACCAGCCAAGCCAGCTTGCGGATAACCCCGAGCAACCTTCGGCCAACGCGGACCAGACTGCTGACTAGATTCGGCCTTGGCCCCTTAGATTTTTTTTTTTTTGAGATATTCTTTGTAAACGATTAGAAATTAATGGAATGAATTTGATTCTTTTTTACTGTTTTTGGATGTGATCCGAAATGGGAGAGGTTAAAATAACATTGTTAACACAATTAAGTTTGAAGTGAAATTGACTTCGTCCTTTACTGACTTCGTCTTCAATTGTATTGGAATGTTATTTACAAAGACTCCTAACTCAAAATGAAGAAGGGGACTTTCAAGGATGGAATTTTTTAAGGTTGTTGACGTTCCAAACTCTAGGCACCCTTTTGCCCTCGGCGTCTTGGAGAATGTACGCCCCGAGGTGCGGGACCTTGGTTACAATGTAAGGGCCTTCCCAGTTTGGTGCTAGCTTGCCATATCGGGTTTCGAACCCTATGAGCCCAGCTTTTCTGAGGACGAGGTCACCGACTATGAAGTTTCGAGGTCGGACTCGCTTATTGTAAAGGTTGGCTATTCTTTGTTTGTATGCTAAAGTCCAAAGTCGGGATTGCTCTCGGACTTCGTCTAGGAAATCAAGGTTTTCCCTTAGTAGACGCTCATTTCAAGTTGGTTCAAAGTGGCTGATACTTAGGCTTGGGACACCAATTTCGACATGAATGACTGCCTCAGTGCCGAAGGCTAAGTGGTAGGGCGTTTCGCCTATTTGCAGGAGACTAACTTTAGGATTTACTTTAAAGGGTAGTCTGTAACTATAAATAAAGTAATGTAAAAGAGAATCAAAGTGGGGAACATACCTGTGGCAGTTCGGCTTGTTGTCTGGTAAGCCCACAGGACGTTGTTGAGTTCATCTACCCACTTTGTTTTCAGCTGATCTAACCTCGGCTTGATTCCTTCCAAGATAGCTTTGTTGACTGATTCAACTATTCCATTGGCCTCGGGATGATAGACGGAGGTGAACACCAACTTAATCCCGTAGCTGGAGCAAAAGTCCCTGAAGGAGTTACAATTGAACTGGGGGCCGTTATCGGCGATGATCTGGTTTGGTATCCCATATTTACAGATGACCGAGCTGAAGAGGAAATCCTCAATTCTTCTCAAAGTTAGACAAGAGAGAGGTCTGGCTTCTACCCATTTGGTAAAGTAATCAACAGCGACCACCAAATGTGTTGCTCCCCCTACTGCTTTGACGAAGGGGCCCAGAAGGTCTATTCCCCATTGAGCAAAGGGCCATGGCGCAGTCAAGCTAGTGAGTTCTTCGGCTGCCTGATGGGTGAGATGGGCGAAGAACTGGCATTTCTGGCACCTCTGTACGAACTTCTTTGCGTCTTCTTGCATGTTAAGCCAATAGTACCCTTGCCGAAGTACCTTGTGTGCCAGAGTCCGGGCTCCCACGTGATTACCGCATACCCCCTCGTGTACTTCTCTTAGTGCATACTCTGCTTCATATGGTGTCAGGCATCTGAGGAGTGGTAACGAGTAGGACCTTTTGTACAAAATGTCGCCAACCAGGGTGTACCGAGAGGCTTTTCTTCGTAACTTCATCTCTTCCTGTTTGTCCCTCGGGACGGTACCATTGAGGAGGTATTCCCGGATGGGGTTTGTCCAACTCGGAGCATCTAGGTCAGTACTAATCTCCATTACCCTCGACGTCTGAAAGCTTGGTTCATTCAGTATCTCGATATACACAGATTTTGCTTCCCCTGAGTTTTTAGATGCCAATTTCGACAAGGAGTCTGCATGCTCATTTTCCGCTCTCGGGATTTGGGTGAGCTGGAATTTCTCGAAACGGTTTTTCAGCTTGGAGACTGCGGCCACATATCTTGCCAGGACGGGATCAATGACTTCGCACATAGAATTGATTTGGTTAACTACCAGTTGCGAGTCACTGTTAATCTGCAGGCGTTTGACTTTGAGCTCGGCCGCCAGACGTAATCCCAGGAGGAGGGCTTCGTATTCGGCCACGTTGTTTGTGGCCTGGAAGTTGAACTTCAAAGCGTGTTCACTCCGGAAGCCGTCAGGTCCAGTTAACACCGCTCCAACTCCTGAACCCTTGTTATTAGATGATCCATCGACATACAGGGTCCATGTTTCTGCCTCAGAATTTGGCTCCACCTGATTAGAAGTGCATTCGACCACGAAATCTGCCAAAGCTTGAGCTCGGATTGTCGACCTCTGCTGGAATGCTATCTGAAACTCTCCCAGCTCTACTGCCCATTTGATGAGCCTCCTGGAGCATTTTGGTTTCTGTAAAATTTGTCTTAAAGGCTGATCAGTCATCACAATAATAGGATGGGATTGGAAATATGGCCTCAATTTCCTTGCAGTAACAACAACTGCTAGGGCTGCCTTCTCTGCTATTGAGTATCTCTGCTCGGCCCCCTGCAGCACCTTACTGGCATAGTACACTGGTTGCTGTTGCTTCCCCATTTCCTTGACCAAGACAGAACTGACAGCAGTATAAGATATTCCGAGGTAGAGATAAAGGATTTCACCTTCCTGAGCCTTAGTCAGCAAAGGCGACGAGCCGAGGTAGGCTTTGAGCTCGTCAAAAGCCACTTGGCACTCCGTCGTCCAGTTGAACTTCTGGGGTTTTCTCGCTTCGTCCTTCTGAGCTGCAGTTCTCAAGACCTTAAAGAAAGGCAAACACTTATCTGCTGATTTGGAGATAAATCTGTGCAGTGCTGCTACTCTCCCTGCCAGGCGTTGCACGTCCTTGGTTGACCTCGGCGGTTTCATTTCTTCTATTGCCTTTATCTTCTCAGGGTTGACCTCTATTCCCCTTCTGGAAACCATGAAACCTAGAAACTTGCCTGATTCAACGCCGAAAGTGCACTTTGCTGGATTCAACTTCATACCGTACCTTCTAAGGTTGTTGAACGTCTCGGCCAGGTCGGTCAAGTGGTTTTCTGCTTGAGAACTTTTGACAACAATGTCATCTACGTAGACCTCCAGGTTTCTACCAATTTGAGCCCGAAATACAATTGTGACCATTTTCTAGTATGTTGCCCCTGCATTCTTGAGCCCAAACGGCATCATGACATAACAATATATTTCATCTCCGGCATAAAATGAGGTTTTCACCTCGTCCTCGGGTGCCATGCGTACTTGATGATACCCCGAGTAAGCATCCAGGAGGCTTAACCTCTCATTCCCTGAGGCGGCCTCCACCAGCTTGTCTATGCTCGGCATGGGATGACAGTCTTTGGGGCAAGCGTCGTTGAGGTTGGTGTAATCGATGCACATGCGTCACTTCCCGTTTGACTTTTTTACCATGACAGGGTTGGCAATCCATTCGCAGTAATCTACTCTCCTGATAAACCCTACTTGCAAGAGGTTCTTCACTTCTTCCTTAATGGCCGTGAGTCTTTCCCCCCAGAAAAGCCGTCTCTTCTGTGCTACTGGCTTCCTCAAAGGATTAGTGCTGAGTTTGTGCACTGCCACCGAAGTTGGGATTCCAAGCATATCAGCCGAAGTCCATGCAAACACATCCTTATTTACTTTTAGGAAGCCCACAAGTGCTTCTTTTTCTATAGGAGTCAGCTTCGTGCCTATCTGAGTCTTCTTGGATGGGTCATTATCATCAAGTTGCACCTCTTCGACCTTTTCGACCTCTTCGACCGGGGTGGCTCTTGGGTCATCCTTTGGTCTGTTATCTGGCAGCTCTACACCCATTACCTATTGGGTATTCGAGGCCTCTGGTGGTGGGACTACCTCCTTATTTCTTCGTGACCTCGCGACAGAGGTCATGTAGCAGTGCCTGGCCGCCTCTTGGTTGCCTCTTAGGGTTGCTATCCCCATTGGGGTAGGGAATTTCATGCAGAGGTGGGGCGGGGACACTATAGCCCGAATCTCGGTCAAAGTCGGCCTCCCGATGACGAGATTGAAAGATGAAGGCATCTTCATTACTAGAAATCTGACTGTGGGTGTTACGTACGTCCGTCCAGAGCCAAACGCCACATTGAGCCGCAGCACTCCTTCCACAGGTACCGGCTGATTGTTGAACTCGTAAATGGGCCCGTCGTACTTTTGTAGGAGAGCCGGTCAAGTCCGAGGCTCTCAAAGCAATAGTAATACATTATATCTGGAGCACTGCCGGTGTCGATGAGCGCTCGCTGGACCTCGCAGTTGTTGATGATGACCGAGGTGACTAATGGGTCGTTATGGGGCGTGACAACCCCCTCGAAGTCAGCCGAAGTGAATGTTACAGATTGATTTTTCCAATCCTCCTCGTCGATTTTTCTTTTCTGAGCTGTATTGTGGTGTTTGACCTCCCTCACGTACAGCTTCTACTGTTTGGAGCTTGTGCCTCCTGCTTCGGGCCCACCAGTTATCATGTGAATGACTCTAGATGGGGGTGGCAGAGGTGGCGATGCCTGTTGGTACCCTACCCCATCTCTGTTGTTTGGTGCTCGGGACCCCTGGGCTTGTCCCTGGGCTTGTCCCTGTTCTTTGACAAACTTTGGCAAATTTCTGTTCTGGATGTACTCATTCAACATCCCTTTCCGGGCCAAACTTTCCAGCTCGGACTTCAAACTTTTGCACTCTTCCGTGGTATGTCCGTGGTCTTGATGAAAGTCACAGTATCTGGTGTGGTCTCTGCTTGCCGCTGGGCTTTGTATGGGGTGTGGTCTCCTCATCTCCATCTTATTCTTAATTTGCATGAGAATTTGCGACCTCGGAATTGTGAAGGAGGTCCATGAGGGCGGCGTAGGCCGCGTTTGCAGGGTGCTGGAGCTGGGCCTGTCTAGCTTAGGAACCGGAATTGGGCCTCGGTTCTGTGTGGGTTTGAACTTTTTCCTGCTCTGGCTTTCGTCTCTCCAAATGGGGGTTCTAGCTTCTTTGGGGGGCTGGGGTTTGGAGAGGACGTACTCCTCAGCCTTAATGAATTTGAGGGATCTCTGGTTGACTTCGTCAAAAGTAGTTGGGGTGTTCTTGACCAAGTTGTCTCGAAACCGATCATGGTTGAGGCCTTGCATCACAACAGTTACTCCCACTGCTTCATCGAAGGCATTGACTTCCAGCATGGCGTCATTGAACCTGTTCATGTAGTTCTTCAAAGATTCGCCTTCTCTTTGTGTTATGCGCATGAGTTCGGGTGTCGTCTTTTTGATCAACCTTCTGCTTGAGAATTTGGTGGCAAAGGAGGTGGCTAGCTCGGCATACGCGTTAATCGAGTTTGGACGTAGGGTGTGATACCAGGTCCGGGCATTGCCGCGTAATGTGGAGGGAAACATCTTGCACATGAGTGCGTCTGAGGCGTTTTGAGCCTGCATGATGGAGAAGAATGCATGTAAATGGTCATCAGGGTCTTTAGTGCCGTCATACGTTTCAAACAGCGGCATCCTGAAGCCGGGTGGATATGGCTCTTGGGTGATTTTGGTATTGAGGGGAGCGGGGATGGAGGTTGATATAGGTGGGACTTGTGGTTGTGGATTTTTGTTCTCGGCTAACAGTTTTTCTAGGTTATCTAGCCTCCTTGAGACATCTGAGGCGGCTGGTTGAGGTGGGTTTTGTGGCTGGGGTGGTATGTGAGACTGTGCTTGGGAAGCGGTCGGGGCAGCACTGCGGACCGGGGAGTTGGCAGGCTGTTGAGCTGGTTGGGGGGGCACAGGGGGAGCTGGGTTCAATAAGTGAATGAGTGGGTCAGTGGGGTTATCTCTGGCTAACAGCTGGGCAAGTACTAGCTGGAAGACCCCGAATTGTTGTTGCATGGCATTGAGTTGAGCGGTCACAAGGTCGCTTGGTACAGTGTTGGGATATTGTGGATTATGTTCCCCAACTCCCTCCGTCTGCTGATGTTGGGGGGCTACAACCGGTGCATTATGTGACACGGGGTTGACACTTGGGGGCTGGCCTCTTCCTTGGCCTCGGGGAGGGCTCTCACGTTGGGTTGCTCGTGTGTGTACCATCTTAGCTTCTGGTGATCACTTTTGTTCGGGTTCCCACAGACGGCGCCAATGTAGTTGCTGAATATCCTTGAGTTCCTGCTTCGAGTTGGTCCTTCTTAAAATGGTCCTGCAAAATCCCGAGGTTGGTCCTCAGGGAGAAACTCCGATGCTTAAGTCAGTATTTTTTCGATCAACCCTCCTCTCTTTTGTTCCGCCTATTTATCGAGTCTTACCTTGCGGGCTGTCTCGCTTGGCAAGGCACCCACGTGGCTCGTCCACACC